CAGGCAGGCAGGCAGGCAGGCAGGCAGGCAGGCAGGCAGGCAGGCAGGCAGGCAGGCACAAAGGGGGTTGCTTTTGTTGGACAAGTTTTATAGCTCTTCAACTTCTCTCCCCCTCCCCTTGAGTTGCTTAGTTTAGGCATCAGCAAGGGAAGGTTACATATTAATGAGGACAGCAGAGGATGAGATGGTTAGATAGCATCACTGAAGCAATGAACATGAAACTGAACAAACTCAGGGAGGCAGTGAAGGACAGGAAGGCCTGGCGCAATATGGTTCATGGGGTCACGACTGAACAACAACAACAGCTACGTGTCTGGCAGGTATTGGGCACTTAGTAAAAACAAAAGTGAGAAATAATCCTCTGACTGGGGTTACAGTGGGAAGTTGGTTAACTCACAACTTGCAAGAGTAAATAGGAAGAGCTAGCTTGTCTAAGCAGCCTCCCCTTCTAGTGTTAATTAAAAAATGTGGGTTAATCACAGGACACTGGCATTATGTTGACTTCCTGCAATGTTACGTATTTCTGTTTGAAGATCAACATCTTCAACTATAAGTTTTTTAGAACCCTAAAGTAGATGTCATCTAGTCTCAGTAATTTATGTGTACAATTTTGAAGGCCTTGTACTTCATCCCTTGTGGAAACGTTTAGGTTAAATATGCCTTGTGATTTATCTTCTATAAGTCGCATAATGTAAGTCTAAAATTTACAGTATGATTATATTAAGCTCCATCAATTTCAATATTTATTCCAAGATAAACAGAATAAATATCCTTAGTTATTGTTGTTGTTTAGTCATTAAGTCGTGTCCGACTCTTCGTGACCCCATGAACCATATTGCACCAGGCCTTCCTGTCCTTCACTGCCTCCCTGAGTTTGCTCAGTTTCATGCTCAATCCTTAGTTATTACATTATTTTAAAAGCATATAATTCTAACGTTGTTAATTTTGAATATAGTTTTAAACATTTGATGTTTTGAGACTGTGCTTTATAATATAAAAACAATCACTAATATTGCAACATTGGGTGAGAATTTATGAGAGGTGCGAAAAGTGGCATTTGGGTCAGAAGTGACCTGAAAGAAGCTGAGTAATTTTGAAAGAAGTTCAGTAATTTTGTCTACTTAATTGTACTACAAAAGCATTCATTTTCTGGACTACTGTGAAACTGAACATTTATGTTGTGTATGTTAACCAGTGAAGCAACTATTCTATGATCAAATAATTTGGCCATTGAAAAACTCACACTAAATGCTGACTCAGTATTTTTATTGACAAATTAAACCACCCATGCAAGTTGCACTTGCATTTTAGCTTGGCTATTATTTTGACATGACTTCCCAAAGGAGTAAAAAATCAAACGAGAGCACTTGTTTCCAATGCAGCCTCTAGTTAGAGTACTTTGGTTTAATATTTCAAAACAGAAAACCACTCTTAACTTACAAAGATATTGGAATGGATTAAAGGGTGATTTTTATCCACCTCAGCATTCCTTCTGAGAAATGCAAAGGCCACTGATACAAAACTATAGAATGTGTTTAAACAAATGCAATTTAAAATTGAATACATAGATAACAAAATCAAAAACCTACCTTGATGTGCTATCCTCCAGAGGAATCAGACTACAACTTCCATCTCCCCAATATAGTAATTGGCCATGCTGCCTGAGGATGAAAGTTTTTGGCAAATGTGCTAGAATGCAATGGAGCAGTAGGTTCTCAGGAAGGAGGGAGCACATTCCAGGAAGGGGGCGAGACAAGAGAAAACACAGTCCGGAGCAGGAGCGTGGGAAGAGGAAGAGATTTAGGATAGCCACTCCCTAGAATCTCAAGGGTATACCCACTAGGTTAGAGTAGTATAGATTTAGTCTGGCAAGATTCTATCTATATGGTGTAAGCAATAAAAGAACTGAACTTGGACAGACTGTTTCCCTGTTATTCTTGGGCTGAGCCTGACAGCAAACCAGGTTCAAAAAATCAAAGAACCAAATCCAGCAGATAAATTGAGAATGTCTACTTAGGTGTTCTTTTTTTGGGGGGGGGGGGTTTTTTGTTTAATGAGGGGCTTAACAACATAATTAGCCAGATATTTCTGAATTGATAATCTGAGCCTGACAGCAAACCAGGTTCAAAAAATCAAAAAACCAAATCCAGCAGATAAATTGAGGATGTCTGCTTAGGTGTTCTTTTTTTGGGGGGGGGGTGTTTTTTGTTTAATGAGGGGCTTAACAAAATAATTAGCCAGATATTTCTGAATTGATAATTCTTAGGGGTAGTCACAGGAAAAATCAACCACCAAACAATATAAACTGCTTCTTCTCTGTTCCATCCAAAATTAGCTTCAGATACTGGCAGTTATTTATTGTGTGAACAGATAGCCCTTCATGTAAATTACCCATAAGTAACCATCCATTTAAATAGATGTTTAACACTCTTAACAAGAGTTATATTAATTCCTTGCTAGTCTTATTTAAAGTAAAACAATCATTAAAAAAAATAAAAATAGTTTGAAAGAAATGCCATCCTTCATCATCTTCAGCTCCAAGTTTCTTTAAATGTTAACCTTCTCGGGTCTATATGAGGGAGCCTACTGTGTTTCCCCACCTCTGTTTCTATGGCTCCTTTTGGCAGTTTACCAACATTTACCTTGGCAGTGATGGGAAACACAGCCATGGCAGTGACAGAAATGTGAACTATGTTGTTTCAGTCCTACTTCTTTTCTTCATAATGTAAAATGATAGAAGGCCAACCCTTCTGCCCACCAAACATTTAAATAATAATGCAGATTAGTCATTATCAGCAGTCCAGGGCTGTGCTGGACAAACCAGTGTGGTGGATTAAGGTGATAATAGTCACTTGGGTGATCCAAGTCAAGTCCACCCTGAGCCACAGAAGCTTATTGGGCCTCTTGGGGGCAACCTCTCAGCCCACTACCACACAGGGTTGCTGAGGTGGGGAAAAACGTGAGGAGGGTATTCTCTACATGCCACCTTGCATTTTT